GACGGGAAAGTGGTTATTTGGGACTTGGAAAACCTAGAGGATGTGTCTGATTATCTCTAAGAAGTGGTTGGGGAAAAGTTTTTCCAGCCTAGATGCTGCAGGGTACAGAAACGGAATGATGGAGTAATATTGAACCTAGCGGATGGATCTGTATATTGGCTTGGTTGAGAGGAGTTGGATCTGATTCTGAACTCTTAGGAGAAAAATTGATATAGTCCCGGGATATTAGTTGACAACTCTGTGTATATCCCTACATGTAATATATGTGCTTTTCTGCCAGTGTTGTGTTTTACATTTCATTTCCACTTTTTGAAGATTCGGATATAGCTCGTTTTTTAAGTAATGCAAATTGATCAAAGTACCTAATGTTTGTTTTTTTTTTTATGTCAATTTAATCAATTTATGTTAAAATTGGTTAATTTAGTTTTTGTATTTTGACACTTCAAATTATGTTGACATGCTGATAACATGATACTAACATGTTGACGTGGTAATAATGATGTGTGGTAGATTCAAATTCTTTCTTCTTTAAATTTTTTTCTAGGTTAGTTTTTTGGTACTATGCCATAAGATTAAATTAAATAAAAATGTAGAGTATATGAGTTAAATTGAACAAAATTGTAAGGCACATAAATTAAATTTAACAAAATTTAATAGTATATAAATTAAATTGAATAAAAATATATCATATAGAAACTAATGTGAGTACATTTATCATTTTTTGCATAGCATTATGTTTGCATCAAAAATATACTTTTGCATCTCAAATGTTATATATTGTTTAGTAATTAAAAACTATTAGGACATCCAAAAAAAAATAATTCAAGTCAACAAAAATATCATGTGGTTCAACAACCGCCACTATAATACCAAAAAATAGGATGTGCATCGCCCAATCCTTTCAAGAGGTTTGTAACCTCTATTAGAACAAATATCAAGTTAAAATATAACCCTTTTACAACATCCACCATTTATAAAATCTGGATATATAAAATAGACACAAATCATAGCAAAAAAGATTCCACCCAAATGAACTCAATTATTACAACAAAGATTTCTAAGTTGCAAATAAAAGTAACACAGTAACTGATCAATTGATATACGATCAAAGTATTGCATATTTATACAATAAAAAATAAATTAGGAAAAACTTTTATTATGTGCACTAAATATGTAATTTTAGTTTTTTAAATTAAAGATTTATTTTGTTTAATTTAATATTGTTGGTCCCAAGTAAATGTGCTAGAGGGGGGTGAATAGCACTTTTTGACTCTTACAAGATTTGAACTCGGGTAATTTTAACTTCAATGATGAGAAGTTAAATGTAAGATAAGAAATAATCTAACAAGGAATGAAATCAAGAATAAAGCAACAAATATAAAACACAAAGATTTATAGTGGTTCGGTCAAAAGACCTACATCCACTACCTTGATTGTTCAACTAATGATTTTTCAAATTAAATCACTATAAACAGTGAAATTTTTAAGCTTTCACTAAGCTTTTTCAATGGCTTTTCACATGCTCAGCCACAACCTTCAACAATGGCTTTTCAAAGGCTCAACCACAATCTTTAATAATGGTTTTTTTTAGGATCAACCAAAACCCAAAAACTAACTTTTTCAGGCTTAGTTAGAACCTTTGCACTTAATCAAGCTAATCCAAGGTTGATTAATCCCCTTAGAGTGTCTCACACACTCTAAGCAATCAAGAAAAAAAGAAATAAAGAGGTACCTATGATCACTAACCTGATCTGACGGTACAAGATGAAGTTCTTAACTCTGTTACAAAGATTGGAGTGAAGTGTAGAAAATATGCAGAGTGTTCTTAAGGTTTTTGAGTTGTTTTTGATCTTAGAAACCTTCAAATCTGATTCTTGGTTGTTGGGAAATGTTTTTATACTTGAAAAATCAACTCTGCTAGCAGCTGGACAGATTTTGACCGTTGAAAACAGTTTGGAAGCAATTTTGTCCATTATTTTATCTTTTAGCGTCAGTTCAAATTGCCAGATAGAATGCTCTTAATCGACTAATCGATATTACTTAATCGACTAATCGATATTACTTAATCGACTAAGTCGTTTCTGTCTTTGAACTCAGTTTTTGGTAATAAGCTCTGTCTTTGAGCATTTCTAACAGTACCCTCTTGGTTGACTGACAAACTTTCTTGGTCGATTGAGTCGTTTCTGTTTTTGAATCCGGTTTTTGACAGAATGCTCTTAGTCGACTAATTCTGTCTCTTGGTCGACTAAGTGCTCTCTGTTTCATGATTTGTTTGAACCCATCAGCTTCTCTTTTGAGTTTTATCCAACCAACTCTCTTGATTATTCAACTTAGAGGCTTCTCATTTCATTGTTCACTTATAACTCCTTATTCTTATAAGTTTTTATATTGTGTTTTGAATGATTAACTAATTAAAGGTATACATTTTTGTCCTGCACACTTAAACAATATAATTAGATACCAATGAGTGGAAATATTTTGCTATCATAAAAAATATATAGAGTCAATATTCTCTATCTCTTATTTTTTATGATGACAAAATATTCCTAGATTAATAGTGCAATGTCTATGTTCAATATGAATACATCAAATCTTTATGCGTAATAAATTGCTCCCCCTTAGTCAATGTATCTAGTTTTTTTTTACATAATATTCAATAAAATTAAAACAAAACATCACACATAAAAATTAAACATGAAGACCAATCAAACTCTATTTAACTTAGTCTTCCTTCTCTTTGTTTTTATCATTAAAATTGATATTCAAAACTCTCCCTTAATGAGTGCATCTAAATTTTTCTTTAATCTTTAGATTAAACTTTAATGAATAGAAATCATAAACACTCATACACCTAAGTCATACAAGCTTATAAATATAGTTCAATAGCTTCAAAAGTCAAACTTATAACTATGTAAGAATAAATGTATAGGAGTTAAATCATTTCAATCAATTGTCAAGAATTGCTCAAATAATGTTCAAGCAAATTTGATCATTTTATCATAATCAAAACTATAATAATTTTAAAGCTAACAAATATGTTAATAGAAAGAATATTTCTATATTGGCAACAATATGATAGGTTTGAATTTTTTTTATGAAAATTTTTTCCATGTCAGTTTTTTGGTACCACATTATATGGACTAAATTAAATAAAAATGTAGAGTACATGAATTAAATTGAATAAAATTATAGAATATAGGTACTAAATTGAAAAAATACAATAGTACATAAACTAAATTAAAAAAAATTATTATATAAAGACTAAATTGGATACTTTTATAATTTTTTATTTAGGATAGTGTTTGTACAAGAAATTTACTTATACAAGTTATTTTTTAGTAATTAAAAACCTTTAACTTTTTACTTATACAAAAAATATGGAAACTAATTACACTACTTTTTTTTAAAGGAATAATAAATATTCTTATTTTATTGAAAAATAATTTCATTAGTATTTCACATACCTCCAATAAAAAAACTCAAGCTAACAAAAATACCCTTTGATTTTACAATACTTACTATCGTACCAAAAAAGTGTACATTAGTCAATCCTTTCAAGAGACTTGTAATCTCTATTAGAATAAGTAAAACTATAACGTTATACAATATCCACCTTTACAAAAGAAAACCACCTAAATATACACAATATATAAAAACCGGTGCTCCCCTCTCTTGGGAGCACCAGCCAATGCTCCCCTTTCTTAGGGAGCTAGGGAGCATTGATTATTTTTTTATTTTTTAAATATAATAATAATTTTTTAAATTAATAAAAAAACATTTTAATCTTTTCATAATTTTTGTTAATGGTGTTTGCACTCTTAGAGCAGAGTATCAATTTTAAAAATTAATGAACCTGCATGTAATTAGAGCTAAAAGTTAAGTATGTTTGAGTATTTTATTTTATTTCTTTTTATGTTGGAACTTTGTTAAAACTTGAAGATCAAATTGAAGATTTTTCTTTTGACACCTTATATCATTTTATAAAACATAAAAGTAAATTCAATAATTATATATCATGTTAAAATATGTAAAAAATTACTAATAAATTTAATAAAGAACAAATAAAGTTCTTGGATTACTTTTATGATTTTATTTGGACTGAACGATTTCTGATTTGGGAAAAAGGTTTTATATTCGAAATTGGATAAGTCTAAAACTCAATATACTTATAAAAAATATTAAAATATGATAAAGATATAAAAGTAGTTTTTGAATTAAATCCTACAAATATAAATTTAAAAAAGAACAGTTGATTTGTTGATGTGATTCATTTTTGATGTTATTGCAGGCATCATTACAATAATTGTGTCAAATATCATAATGTTATTATTAAGTTTGAAGAAAAAATAAACAATGCATTTGGCATTTGGTGAAGAGCGTATAACGCCGATATATGAATTTGAAATTAATTATTGAGAGTTAAAAAGAAAAAATTTTAAAAAAATCTATAATTAAGAATAGGTAATTGTAGCTTTATTTTTTTATTCAACAAAAATATAAGTAATATACTTGATTACTTAATGATTGTGATAAAGATGAATTTAGTGTTTCGTTTGTATTTATTTTTAGTGTTTTTGTTTTGAAATTTGAAAAAACTAATATATTTTAATCTTTACAAAGAAAAGCTACTTAAATATACATAATATAAAAAAAACCATAACAAAAATAACCGTACACCAACAAACTTTACCATAATAGCAAATTAAGATTTACAAATCATAAATAAAAGTAAAGCAATAGCTGATCAAATAATATATGGTCAAAATACTTCATATTTATATGAAAAGAAAAAAATTAGAAAAAAACTTTATTATGTGCACTACATGTTCAATTTTGATTCTTAAAACTGGAAAATTCAATTTAATATGTTAAAAAAATATTTATATATAATTTCGTAAACTGTAATATTAAAGTCTTTGACTTACATAATTTGAGTGGATAATAAAATAACAGCTTTTTTATATATAAAAAAAAATACTGCTTATAAAAAAAAATGCTAATTAAACTGTAATATTGAAATAAACAGTATAATGCTCATCCCGTATACTTAGTATTGGTTGTAGAAGAAAGTTTCTTGTTGCTCCTTTTGCCACGAAGCTGATAGGATGATATTCACTAACACCTTTGAATAACCGAAAGCTCACAGCATTTTTAGATTCCGGTAATGTGGGGTTGCAAGTAAGCTTCACACTTGGACCTAAAGTGCTGTTGGCATCAGCCTTGACTGCGGAAAGAGTTTGGCTGCTGACATGACTATTTATCACAAAGCAACCTTTATTGCTATCTGCTTCCAAGGAAACTGTATTGTGGTTTCCATCCAAGCCTGCCACCAAACGGAAACTGGAGGAGTCCTTAGCAGTATCAGAGTTCATAACCACAAGGTTCTTATCCGGTCCTTGGTGTGCCACAGCCATTCCTGGAAGATCAAATGGTTCTAGTACAATAGATTTTCCAATGACATCCTTTACAAAGGAAAATCCTTTGAAAGTTGGATCCTTTAAGATGATCCTGAAAGTGGCATTAACTGATGCGTTGGTGCCCGGTTGAGGGTAAGTCAGCATTGTGATGGAATGAGCATTTTTTGATAAGGCAAAAGTTGAGTCTCCAATGGCCTGTGAGAACGAAACTAGATGGGAGTTGTAAGTTTGAGGAATTGGAGTTATCCATTCTAAAGGAGAATTAGTTGCTTTCCCAATTCGGATATCCCAATCACCATTGCTGAGACCAGCCAGAAGATATGGTCCAAAAAGTATTGCTTGAACGGAGGCATATTCAGGTCGGTCGTCTGTGTTTCAAGTGATATGTCATGTCATGATTCATGCAGTAGGGTTGTTAGTTTTTCTTACCAAATAATAAAAATATAAGAAGAGAATACCTAGAATATGCTCCAATCTTAGAGTAATTGGTAATTGAAGGGTCAACTTATCACCAACATTCCATTTCTTCGTGACTGAGAGAAAACTACCTGCATTGCGAATATATATTAGCCTACTGTAACAATCTCATAACACAGGGACCAAAGGTCTTTATCTGCTCAAGCGACATTGGAAAGAGAGAAGAAACAAGTAACGCCTAATGAAAAAATGTTAAGCTAATTAAATTTGTAAGAAAACTACACCATGATGATTAAACAGAGATTAATTGGAGTGGTTAAAGTAATTTTCACATCACCTGGGGGTGGAAGATCCAAATTTTGACCATTGATTGCTGCTTTAGCATCAACTGACCGTGACCAAAATGGCACGCGTATATTCAAGGTGGCTGGCTTTGCAGTCCCCTGTGGAAAATCAGGATCCAAAATCAAATCATTGAATCCCTAATTCGTTACTAGCAGGTTGTTGAAGCATTGATTGTAAAAGAGGGGAATACAGCAAGTGGTGTTATTGTCTAAACAGGCGTATGGGGTCTTAATATACCTTCCTGGGGAATAAGATTTCCATCCTCAAATTTGGATCCCATGAAACAACAGGTTGAACCATCTGGTAAAGCCCAGTGTTTCCAGATCTCCAATCAAGAAAGCTTGATACAAACTGAATGATGTAAAGAGTGGGAGCCTGTCCTTCTTCTTCAAAGTATATATAATCTCCCAACTTTGCGAAAGTTTCAGTAGCTGCATCATCAACATATAGTTAGCCTTTCAATGCAGGAACTGGAATATAATTGCAGTACCAGTGCATTACACGTAATTCATACAAAAGGCAGATAAAAGAAAAAAGGGAAAATGGAAGGCAAGGCAAGTCAAGCAGTGACCTGTTCCATAGCAGCACCAAAAAGAATCAAAGGGTGTTCCCCATCCCCACTGACTTATGGCCTTGGAGACTCCACGACCTAGAGGGAAAAAATAGATAAACACCCCTGCTTTTGTTCCTTTCTGAACACTAAGAATACCGTTTGTTAATGTTCGTTCTAAGTAATCTGCATATGCCATCTCCTTGGTCCATCGAAACAGGTGCCGAGATACCTGTACAATTCACTCGCGAAAACTTTAATTTAAGCCTGCAAAGCTTTACAACTGATGTTTATACAGAATAGAATTTGTCCCCTCTTATTATTTTCCTATCAAAAAAGAAAACATGTTTCCACCCACTAAAAGAAAGAAAAATAACTTCTATGCACGATTAAATTTCATGAATAAGTTAAATTTGATGTTATAAAAGCCTATTGGCTTGTCCCCTTAAGTATATATTGATAGAGGTGATCATCAAATGAGTCGATTCGGTCTTGGATGAATAAAATAAATTAGCGGAATACCTTCAGCATGTTATACGTTGTACATGTTTCTTCATTTTGCGTCTCTAGGGTTGTTGCCAACCGCTTCGGATCAGTCCTGCTCATCAATTAGAAACATGGAGGATCAAGGAGAAGCTATACTCTATACATGAGGAAGACAACTATAATCTAGAAACTAACCAAAATTCTCTAACGGATGTTCCTCCTGTAGCATAGCAGTGAGAAGAATTTACGATGTCCATGAAGTAGCTACCTATTGCCTAGGTAAACCAAACCCAAAACTGTCAACAAATTTGCTAATTTTCTTTCATCATGTAAAGAAAATTTTCTTTTCCTTAATTACCTCATAGAGTGGATCCCCAGTAATTTCATATCGCACTTGAGATCCAATGACAATAGGGATATGTGTATTGGAATGATAACCAGATAAATCGTCCCCCTACAAGCAAAAGAGTGTCTTGAATAACTAAACAACGTATTATTTTCTCATCTACAAGTGATTTTACCTAGCAGAAGACAAGAAACATACCTGTACGGCTAGGCCTCCTAGGAAGCATGGTTTGTCGAAAAGACGAGCTAGCATGAAATGCTTTGGATCTCTCTACAGAATTAATGAATTATATCGAATTTGTGAATAGCTAGATATAAATATAAAATGAAGAATTAAGGCAAAGATAAAGCTAACTTGACCAACCGTAATGTCGTATAATCTATACAGAAGTTCATTCATGCCACCATGCTCTTCATTAAGCATTAGATAATGTCTTTCCACACTGTACTTGGATATCACATTCTGCACACGGTTATAGAAGTAGTCTACCATCCAAATCAGCATTTTCAGTGCTTTAGGGTTACCGGCAACCGTATGTTGATCCAAAAGACCTGCCATTATCTGTTTCACAACAACCAATATTGAAATTTAGAATCAAACTAGCTAGCTATATATCGTATTGTACATCCATACATATATACATACATACCTTGTGAATGGTATAGTATGGAGCCCAACAATTTTGAAGAGCTTCGACACGATCAAATTGCTCGGATGGAAAAGCAGAAAGATATCCGGTACCTAATTTCTGCTGACAATCAGACAAGGCATCTACAAGATGGGTCATTTTCTGTTGGACTCTTTGGTCGTAAGTGCTTGCCCACATTAGTGCTGTTGCGCTCAAATAATGCCCTAAAATCCCATAATAAATATAATTAATTAATGCTACTACTAAACCTTATAACATTAATAGGTTTATTTTTTCCTGGATATATTCAAAATTTATTTAGAATATAAATAGTCTGTAATAACTTGTATATAAAATAAGTATCATAATTGAACAATTTTCAACCACATATAATAAAGAAATAAATACATTCATTATAAGAAAGTAATGAACAGGTCAAACAAACATCATAATAAATTAATATATTATTAGGAATCAAAATCTAATATAAAATTGAATTGATGATTTGCATATAAAATCTTAAGTTATATCGATCTCTTTCTTACCATAATGATTATTCAAAACAAAAGGACTTATCGGGTATATCAAAAGAAAATTGTAGCAAATATTTGTAATACTTGTGGGTAGAACTGGCACAGAATAAAAAATTGTACTGACCTACAAAATGGCCACGGAGTTCACCGGTTGGCTCCTCCCAGCCACCATAGGGCTGCCCTGGAGTGGGAAGGCCAGCGGTTTTCCTAAAACTCCAAACCAAGCGATCCACATCCAGCATCAATATGTACTCTAAAGTAGTTTGCTGCGCCCGACCATGCAACCCCTTGGGATCTAATCTCACAGCCTGCAATGGTATTTCTTTGAGAAAATGACGTGGCACTTGAAATCTTTGTAGCTTTTGCTCCATCTTTGCCCAGTTGAACTCGTCTAAGCTCGAAATATTTGCAGGCTGAGCATGAGAAGCGGAAGCAGCTGCTTTTCTCAATTCCTCTGCAATCTCATAGTTATGGTTGGTGCAAACTTTACACATAGCACCACCAAATAGTAAAAAGAATACCAATATTAAGAATTGGCAGTGCATTGTTGTGGAAAAGCAAAACTATTTACACTAGAAGTTTGCTTTAAAAGGAAAAAAAAATTGCAGCACTAGTAAAATATCTAAATTTATAGTAACAGAATTCTAGCTTTATTTGTTTTTAAGTTAAGAAGATCTGCAAGTTCGACGGGAGCTCGCAACAAAACAAACCAAAATATACCCTGTACCATAACAGAATTCTAGTAACAAAATCCAATGAGAAGAGTACAATTTATAGTCACAGAATTGTAGCTTTATTATTATTTTTTATTGAAGAATTCTAGTTTCATTAATATCTGATACTAAAGTATATAATTGAAAACAAGTCAAATTGTATTCGGTGACTCAGAAGAATATATTCAAAGAAAGTCAATTTCTAACTTGTTTTGCATTCAATTGAACAAATTACATTTTTCTCGCTAATATAGATTCCAACGTAAAATTAGATCTAAATGTTTAATTTCATACTTTATTCATATACAACATGCAAATTTACGTAAAATTTTATAAAATACAAAAGTAGGTTACATGAATATATATAAATTTAAAATATAAAAAACAACTAATATACTTTATTATATTGTTAATACAATTTAAAAGATAAATAATGTTTGCTCTGCATTTTTTCTTATAAATATGGACAGAATTTATATATACATTTATATAGTAAATTATTGGTGTATACAGATGAGTAAAAATTGGTAATATATATGCAAATTAATGGATATATAGGCAAATGAATAGTATATTGATCGGTTAATAGTATTCATGATAGATAGTTAATATTGTTATGTATGTAATATAAGAGTGACATAACTAATTGCCGGGTTTGGTTGTTTTTCTTTAACAAACTATGGTTGAAGAGCTTGACTTCTTCAAGTTCTCGAGGCCTGAATCCAAAATAGTGGCAACACAGTGTTGGTGTATATATATATATATATAGTAGCCTTTCCTTAGTTTCACTTCCTTGAGCTAATTTTCCCCAGTATAAATGCATGTGTAGGTATATGGTCCAAAACTCATAGGTCATTAATAAATTAACAAGCCCCTTGATCGGTCTTATCATATAGTGGATTTAAAGTGATTTTTTTTTTATTATATACCAAAAATTTGAAGGGAAAATCATCAGGTGACTTTTAAATTTAAGTACTTGTTTGAATTAAATATTAATTAAGTATATCTATATATACTAAAATTAGTTACTTGAATTAATTTTTGTATAAAAATAATGTTTCTGTTCAAAATATAATAATAATAAAAAATTAATTTCTGCAGACAAGGAGTCCACAAGATGAGTCATTTTCTGTTGGACTGTCGTAAGTGGTTGCGCACATTAGTGCTGTTGCGCTCCAATAATGCCCTAAAATCCCATAATAAATATAATTAATACTAGTGCTAAATCTTGTAACATTAATCGGTTACAAGGTTATATAGTTTTTTTTTCTTGATATATTCAAAATTTATTCACAATATAAATAATTTGTAGCAACATGGATATAAAATAAGTATCATAATTGAACAATTTTCAACTGCATATAGTAAACAAATAAATACATTCATTATAAGAAATTAATGAACAGATCAAACAAACATCACAGCAAATTAATATATTATTGGCAATCAAAATCTAATACAAAACTGAATTAAACTCTCACATGTTGAGACTTGCATATAAATCTTAAGTTATAACGATCTCTTCTTTATCGTCATGATTATTCAAAATAAAAAGACTTATTGGGTATATCAAAAGAACATTGCAGCAAAACAAAAGGACTTATCCTTTGTTTTCATTCCATTGAGTATTAAAATTGAGATTGAGAAAATTCAGAGACGTTTCCTCTAAGATGGGAATGATAATAAAAAGAATTCACTATAGTGGGTGAGATCATGTGTGTAAACAGAGAGTGGATCTTCAAACTAAAAATCGAGCTATGCTTAATTCTTGGATTCGGAGATATAGGAGAGATGATGGGAGTATATGGAGGAAGGTTGTGGTTGGGAAAAATGGTGATTTGTTATTGTGTTTATTGCCCAAGGTCTTGAAGGGAAAATGGTGTCCACAATGTGGAAAAATATCACAAATCTCTCTATCTCTTATTTTTTGCAAGTTCACTCTAATATTATTTTTGCTTTTGGGAATCGTGAAAAAGTCAGATTTTGGTTGGATATGTGAATTGAGAGAAGCTGTCTTAAAGAGTTGTATCCTCAAATGTTTGCGCTTACCATTAATAAAATTGGCAAGGTTATGGAGTTTTGGAGATTGTATTAACGGTGTATGGGAATGGAGGGTGGTTTTTAGAAGATAAATCTTTGGTTGGGAAGAGGAACAACATAGTGATTTAATGAAAACAATTGGGGAATTCTTTCCTAATCTGGATTTGAGTGGTGAATTGGTGTGGAAAAATAAAGTTAATGGGGTGTATATGGCAAAGTCTTTTTGCCAAGTGGTTAGGGGAGTGGGTGGGGGTAAGGAAAGTATGTGGAGATGGGTTTAGGGTGGAGTGGGTCCTTACAAGTTAAACTGAAACTCGCGTTTGGTAGATTGTTCATGAAAAAGTTGCTGTCAAGGGTGAATTGCTCAAGAGGGGTATTCTGGATACATTGAATGCTTTTTGTCCTATTTGTAAAAATCTTATTGAGTCTGTTAATGATTTGTTTATTGATTGTAAATTGGTTTAGGAAATTTGGTGCGCTTGGTGCAGGGAATGGGAAATTGTCCGGGTTATGTTGCAACATTTCGAAAGCATTTTTTTTTT